CTGGTGTGGCAGTGTCCATTCTGCTGGACAAAATGCCCCAGTGATACAATTTTTGAGTGAAATTCCATATCTGGGAACATCCTGCAATTATTATTTTTCTGGTAATGCTATTGGAGTAGATTCTAATGCTGCGGTGAACCTTGAACTGCCAAAACTATATTTCACCCGAGTTCATGAGGGAAGGAAATAAAACAGTGTGACAGTTAATTACCATCAGGGCAGTTGGACTGAAAAGCTGGACTTGGCAGGTGCTCCTTGCTGACAGGTTCCCCCTGCAAAGCCCTGACAGAAATGTCAGACTCAATAAAAATCCTTCAGACTGTGTGAGTGAGGCGACTCTCGCGTGGGAGTGTGCTGGCAGGGGGCTCTTGTATTTCAGGAACCTTTTACCTCAGTAGTTCATGGAGAAGTGGAGAGCCCTGCCAGAAGGGTCTATTTCAACCTGTATTCATTTTTTTTGATACTGAACATTTTGTCATGTCAATGAGTTTTAGATTTGTTTTGATATGAAATTATTTCCAGAGATTTCAATGAAAGAGATGATACCACATCTACAAGGATCTTTAAACCCTATGAATTTCGATTCTGATTGCAATTCTTTTCTTGGGAGAAAAATAATCAAGGCTGCTTTTATCTGTATGTAAATCTTGCCATAGGACATTTTGGAAAAGAAGATGACCTGTACTCCTGTCTCACAAAACCTGCATTATAGATTTTAGCTACATGGAGATTAATCCCTCTGCAGTAATTTATCCTGGATGCTTCCCCTGAGCTCTGCCTCTTTGACCTCACACCTCTGCCTGAGGTAGGGTCAGCTGTGCAGGAGAGGGGTCCTCCCAGGCTGCCTCCTGGTTCTGTAGCTTCGCAGTTGCTGTGGCTTTAACAGTGCCCCAGACGTTACTGTGTGAATATTTCCTGCACTTTCACGTCAGCAGTTTAGCAGCATAACTAAGTTAAGGTTCTGATTCTGAAGCTAAGGTGTTCAGACAGGCTTAAGTGCCATTGAACTAAGTGCTGGAATGGAGAGTCACTATTTCTCCATGACAAGATTTAAGTGGTGCAGGAGATTTACATTTTTTCAGTGACACTGCTGTGGAAAACCAGTGAAATGAATGTTTTTTCAGAAGTGTTCTAGATTGTCAGATGATGCAAACGTATGTTTGCCTTAACTCGCAGTGGTGATGCTCACCCAAATGTCATCATAAGGTGAAACTGCAATTACTGCATTCTCAGACTGCTTTTAGTTTTCAAAAACTAAAAAATTTGTTAGGTAAAGGGTGGAGGGAAGAAAGGGAAATTAAATAAGCAAAAAGGTACAAAACAAGAAGTCAGTTGCTGTCAAAAAAGTGCCTTAGCAGGAAGGGTAACAGATTTAAATGTGGTGATTTCATACATGTGGTTATGTCTGGAAACAAAATCTCCCTGGCTTGAAGAGCTATATAAGCTGTGAACTGTATGTACTCCTTGATGCAGTGATAGGATTGGGCTGGGGTTGCTTTTATATCCCCAGGAAGATGTATGAAAGTGGCTTAAGATGTCCAAGGGGAAATATTGGTGCCTACTGATATCTGAATCCAGCTGGCTGGGATGGTCAATGGATACAGCCAGAGGAGATAGAAATAAAAGCTGCTATGAAGAGCCCTCACCTGCTATATTGAATTTGGAGCAGGTGCTCATGGTCTCTCAGTTCCATCAGGAAAGGCCAGAATTAATCCCGATTAATTGTGAGGCTTTGGTACAGTGTAGAATACATGGTTTATTCTGCCAACATGGGTATTGGAAGTGTCTTTAGCTAAAATGAAATACCAAGAACAGGTTTGTCTTTCATATTCACTATAGTCTGTTTTAATCCAAGGGTAGTCCTGCCTAACAGGCTTTTGCCATTCAGGACTGTTCTGTGATTGTGAGGTGAAGCACCTGTGTGGTAACATACGTGTCCTTGGGTCTGAGACCGGTGGGACACTTGCAGGATTAGCTGAAATACCACATAGAGGAGGATATCTGATCTAATAACCTAGTAAGCAAAGACATTTTTTGCCTTTAAAATTCCTTCTTTGAGGACTTTAACATAAGAGGGGTTGGCAAAAAGATTAAAATAACACACAGCCAACAGCCTGATACATTTCATTAGGGCAGCACAAGAGCTTGCTTGAAATTCTGGAGCAGCCAGGCTGCTCTTTGCTCACACGTGGTTTGTTTTGAAGCTGAAGGTATTTCTGGCCGGGGCACGGCTCTTGCTTGTGCACACCCGTGCACACATGGCCCCGCGTGGATTATGTGAGGGGCTTAACTCTGGCTGCCTGGATTTGCAGGCAGTGTGTTGACAGGAAATTAGTTTGTACCAGGACGTGCCTTTGGAGGACTATTTCCAGGCAGTTGTGATGATGACATCAACGCGTGGAGGTCAGGTGGGGAGGGGCAAAGACAGCCCCTTGGCTGGAAGTTGGTTTTGGCAGTGCCTCCGTGGGACTGGAGGGTTAATCATCATTTGTTTCTCTGGCTGCCGTTTGCGTCAAAAGTTTGGGCAGCCTTAATGAACGTTGCCTGTGTTAATCTGAAACCCTTGCTGGGAAATCATGGGAAAGTGGAAAAACGCATAGTTGCGTGTCACCCCTTGGATTAACAGCTTGGGCAATGCTGGAGCTCTCGGGGCGCATGGAGTGGCTCTGATGCAGCTCCGAGCAGCTGGTAAAGAGATCTCTCTCTGTAAGCCTGTGCCTGCCTGGGATTTTTATGGGGTATCCCATGAAGCCAAAAGCTAATTTACTGTAGACTCTGTGCTAAAAACGGTGCATCGTGTGGCAGCTTAGTCAACTGTGTAAATAAGAGCACTGAAGTTAGAAATCCATGGTGTCATAGGTCCAAGGCACCTCTTCATTTGATGCAGGTTTTATTATTGATATTTTTGGCATGCATGGCTTTGTAATTATTTTCTTCACTTTTAAGAGAGAATAATAATTCCCCCAGTGGTGAACTGGTATCCCCCTTCATTGTCAGAATGGTGTGCCATCAGTGATTGCCTAACTGCAGTGTTCTCATGGTGCCCTGATTGCATGAGTCTTTGCAGTGTGTATTCCCCTGTAACAGTGGGGGTTTTCCTTAGAATAAACACTTCTTTAATGTGTTGTGAGTTTGGGGTTATTTTTTTTCAGTCTGAAGCTTGTAAGAGAAATGTTTACATTGGGGAAAGATGTAATTTCCGTTCTAGTCACCTCTCTTTAAACCAGATATTCCTTTTTTTTTTCCTTTAAGGAAACAAAAGTTTAGCATCTCCTCCAAAGTCTTCTAGCTTCAGATCATCTCATATAATGTGAACATTTTGGTCCCAGTCTTGCAATTATTTTTTCCTTTGCTTAGCATTTTCTCCTGCGTAGTCTATGGGATATAAAGTCGAGTACATGTGAAACTTATGCAAGATGGGAGGCCTGAATCCCTACTGGGACTAGCTAATGTTACAAAGTTGATTTTAATTTCCTTTAAGCTCTGTGTCCTTCCAAAAGCATTTACTATCCATGACCAACACCTGAAGTGTTTTATCACACTCAGCCCTCTGTAAGTCAATGGCACTGTGACCCATGGGTATGTTAGAAATGCTCAAGTATCACTTGGGAATTTCTAATGCGGCTGCAGCAAACCCAAAAGCTGACAACCAGGTAACCCAAGTCCCTTCTGTAATATTTCTTAGCAACCTAAATATTCTGTTAGCCAACATATTATAGCTCCTCAAAGATGTTTTGCAGACTGGGTCTGATAAGTTAACTGTTTTACACTGGAAAATTACAGAACCAGTTGTAGCATAGGAAAGTTAGAGAGCATTTTTGAAGGAGATCTGTGCAGCAGAGATGGAGCCATTACTGTTGCTTTGGCTCTGGGACATTTAGGAAGCTCTGTGGTTGCAGGCAGTGCCTCAGCAATACATGTGTGCAACAACTATGCAGCTATATGTGTGTGTATGTTATCTATCTGCTGGAAATAACTGGAGCACTTATCACAGAATCAGCCGGGTTGGAAAAGACCTCCAAGATCATAGTCCAACTCTACCGTGGTTACTAGACCATAGTATTGGAGAGATTAGGTTTTTCAAATTGTATTGAAAAGAGCCAATTTAAGTGTAGAGAAATGAAGTCCTTCCCTGTGCAACAGAGCAGGGAATAGCGCTGGAACAGCAGTTCAGTTGGTGAAAGATGATTAGGTGTGTGCATGCCATCTGCAGGGGAAGGTTGTGTTGTAAACAGCGAGGTTTTGGCATGGGCCAAGAGCAGGACTCCTGGTTTCTGGCAAAGGAGGATAAATCCCACATTTTTGGTGCTATCTGGCAATCCCCAGCTGATTGCCCCAGCCTGCTTCAGCGTCCCTGTCCTCAGCTGAGGCAATACTTTACACCTTGTCTGCTTAGGTTTTACACATACTGGTGATTTCTAAGCTAGAGTTTTCAATCTTTTCAGTCTTGGTTTTTTTTTCCTGGTATCTGGAATACCAACTGAGATAAAGGGCTGACAATGCTATTATGAGGCAGTTGGTCAACACTCAATTTATTCTTATTTCACGGAGAGAACATTAAAATGTAGAGCAACTCTGCAAAACACATAACTGCTTAATTTTTTATACTGCATAGGGTGGTTTAAGCTCTCACTTGGCTGGTGCTAGAAATGAGTTTGTCTGACTGGTAAAGAAGGTGCATGAATTCAGTTATCTTAAAAATGTTTATTCCAGACATCCACATTGTGTTAAGTTCTTTACAACCTGCATAGCAGGCTGATAAGTGAAAAAAAACCCAACCTCAGTTGCTTTACTGAATACTAAGAAAACCTATGAAGGTTTAATTCTCTGGTTTTGGTTTTTCACTTCGTATCACTGATGCTGTTTCAGAGACTGAAGGTGAAGGATTGAGGCAAACAGTTGCATCCCTGTAAATCGAAAAGAACACTATATTCTTTCCTTTCTCTAGTTTTCTGGGAAGGGAAAGCTAATGCTGTGACTGTTGTTTTTTTTAAAATCAGCTCTTCAGGTGCTGGAAATGTAGCAGACCGTGTCTTGGCTCAGCTGCTGACGGAAATGGATGGGATAGAACAGCTGAAGGACGTGACAATTTTGGCAGCTACAAACAGACCGGACATGATAGACAAGGTACGAATAGATGCAGTGTCATATATCCTGTTCTCTTGAGAAGACCAGGTTTTGGTATCCATTCTTTTTTACTCTCCAAACTGTTGTCTAATCAATTTAATGATTAAGAATAGAAGTGTGAAAATTAAGACAGGGCAAAGAAATTATTCATGTCCTTCCTTTTCCCCCCCGCCTCCAGATTTTCTACCAGAAACAAAATGTTTTGTGATAGCCTTAAGTATCTGTTTCCTAGAAAAAATTTTCCTTAAATCAACCTCATTGAACTTGTACAGCAGCATTTCTGTCAAACTGCTGCTGTGGTTTTTGCTTCTGTTGTGTTTGTTTATGCAGGAGTTTGCTGGAGTTTGTTGGTTTCATTAGTTACTTCCTTTCAGGAGATTAAATATCTCCTCAGTGCCGTTCCCCTGCTGCCAGCAATACGGTTTCCAACTGTAAACAGTGCAAGTTCTCTACAGATCCTGCGGCAGCTCTGCTGGCCTGACAAGAACATTTCAAGTTTGTAAAATCCAGGGGGTTGTAACACTTACTGCAGAAAACCTCTAAATACAAAACCAACCCCGCAGCCCTCTAGAAAATCCACTTGAAAACCATCTACCACTGCTGTGTCTTCTCACAGCTAAGTGCAGTAGACGGATCAGTCTGAAGTGATTTCCTTTAAGATATGTTTTGTAGTGTTGGTAAGGTTCTTTATTCCACAACTTTTCACCTTCACAGCATTAATGAATCTGATGACAAGTTGATGAATTTAGTTTTCCTGATCTTTATTTAGGGCTTCTTAAAAGTTTCTTAAATAATTCTCACATTTTTAAGCTGCTTCTGGAATAGTCTATTCTGTTTGTCTTGGAGCATTCAGGCATAAAATATATATGAAGTGCATACATTTAAAGTAAAAGGTATATACACATGAAGTCTTGATAAAAAAAACCCTTGTGTTTTGGCTCCAGAACACAGCCTCTTCCCTTTTGAACTGAAGGAAGCCACACAGCTGAGGGTGGCCTGACAAAGGCTTCCTTAGGGCTTACTAGTACGCTCATCTGTGAGCCTGCCATGGCAATGTAGAGCCAGCAAAGAGTTTTCAGCAAAAGATGATAAAACTCATCAGTAAAAAATATGCAAAGCTGAAATTTTCAAGATTTCACTTCTGTTAAATTGATTTTGGTTTTCTTTGGGGTCAGACTAAGCTGAATTTTAAAAAAACCCTGTTTTTTGAACAGAAGGGAAATTTCCTTTTGAGTCAGTTCAACATTGTACTGTTATCTGCATCACCACCAGGGAATTCACCTTTGTCATTCTCCCTGTTGCTGGATTTCTCTTGGGCACACCGTGAATGCTGCTTTCTCTTGTTTTAGGTTTTATTTGGAATACTGGCAGTGTTGGATCAGTGCTACCGTGTATTAAGGAAAATCAACAACTTCCATACAGGGCCTAAAATCCTAGATACTGTACCTAAATCATTGATGCAAACCCAGACCTCTTAGCCTGGGACTGAGAGTTTTCAGTGTCTAAATATCATAGAATCATAGAATCAGCCAGGTTGGAAAAGACTTCCAAGATCATCAAATCCGACCCTACTGTGGTGACTAGACCATGGCACTAAGTGCCACATCCAGTCTCATCTTGAAAACCTCCAGGGATGGTGAATCCACCACCTCCCTGGGCAGCACATTCCAGTGCCTGAGCACTCTCTCTGTAAAAAATCTCTTCCTAGTATCCAACCTAACCCTCCCCTGGCAGAGCTTGAGTCTGTGCCCTCTTGTCCTGCTGCTTTGTTGCCTGGGAGAAGAGACCAACCCCCACCTGACTCCAACCTCCTGTCAGGGAGTTGTAGAGGGTGATAAGGTCTCCCCTGAGCCTCCTCTTCTCCAGGCTAAACACCCCCAGCTCCCTCAGCCTCTCCTCGTGGCACTTGTGCTCAAGTCCCTTCACCAGCCTCGTTGCTCTTCTCTGGACCTGCTCCAGCACCTCAATGTCCCTCCTGAACTGAGGGGCCCAGAACTGAACACAGTACTCAAGGTGTGGCCTCACCAGCACCGAGTGCAGGGGCAGAATCACCTCTCTGGTCCTGCTGACCACGCTGTTCCTGATGCAGGCCAAAGCAAAGGATATAAAGCAAAGGATAAAGTTGCATGAGGCAGTGCCTCCCACAGTAGCAAGCTGTGTGATTGCAGGGATTTTAGTAGCAAGAAACCATGAATGGCTATTTTAGATTTTTATTTAAAACTGGTTTTACCAAGATAAAATGGGGAGAAAAAAAAGAATTTGAGTAACTGTAAAGAGCATTCACTTAATGGAATAGCAGAGCAAAAGTTCATCAGTCTTGAGGAAGGGGGATTTTAAGCTGTGGTTTAAAGGGACTGAAGAATCACATTTGAGTTGGTATTGCACACACCATGCTTCATTCAGGCCAGACAGACTGTACCATCTGTTCCTGGGTCCATGCAATTTTTGCACTGCTTGAGTTGCAGTTTTTCCCTTCCCTGGAAGAAAGAAGACTAATACCAGAAAACATTTGTGTTGTGTACATAATGGGAAATCTTTCAGTGTGGGCTTTAGTGATTGGTGATCCCTTTGAAAAGGTAACATTTTGTTAAATTAGCATTTTATATGGAAATAATCAGTTATGTATGACAATAAGGGAGTGTCCTGTTTTTGTAGGGATATGATGATTATACAGTAATTTTTAATGCATGAACTCTACATATGGTATAAATGTACAAGGCAGCCTGTGTTTTGTACTTCCAAGGACTGGGGAAATGTCTGGTATACTTTCTTGTGACTGCTTTTTATCTTTTCAAACCAAGAAATGCTTGAGGAATGTAGGCTCTCTAAGTTTGATATGCTTACAAAACTGGTGACAATCCATTCAGCATCTTCATTTAGGTGGCTGCTGCTTAACTGACAATTATGTGATGATTAATCATTTGTCATTTGAAAACAGCACAAAATCAAATGTAAGGGTATTCCCCAGAGCCTAGTGCAGACTTCATCATCCCTGCAGACACTGCAGTGTGTTGCTTTCAGGTAGTGAATAGGTTTGAGTCAGACTTTATAAAAAGTTATGTGTAATGGTAAACTTGTTTTGACTTGTTACAGATGTCTATTAATAAGGCAGTTTCTCTAAGATGTCATGATTGTATTGAAATGTTATTACAACCTTAAGTTGTGTCCCTTGTTTGTAGCACTGAGCTACTTTGCATCTCCTTCATGTGATACTGGAAAGACTTTAGGATCGCTTCTATTTTTTGTAAGAATACAAAACCAGCACGTACTGTTTTCAGCCATGTATGGTACAGAAAGTGATTTCTCTTGGAAGGGAAATATTCTGGAACAAGTTGTTCTGAACATTCTTTGAAAGTGATACAGAAAGAAAACACTCTGAGTCAGTAATAATACTAAAATCTTCCCTTTTATTCTTCTTTCTATAAGCAGAATTGATGAGCAATAATTGGGAAACTGCTTTTTGTTTTTCGTGACTTACCCACTCAGGAGTGATTTTTCATACCTAAAATATGTTGCAGTAACTTTATGGAGCTGCTTATGATTCAAAGCTTGTCTGTATTTTCATGTGCATCAGTTGGCCTAACCAAAGATCACTCATCCCCACACAAAAGTGAAACACTGTGAGTAAATTGCTCAGCTTGAAATTAAACATTTTGTCTGGGCATATATGTGAACAAGTTTTTAGGTGTGGTCTGACACGTTTCCATGGAGGAAAACCTAGACCAACTCATCAGGATTTGTGTGTCCTTTTTTTCTTCTTCAGTGGGACCTGCTTTCCTGGTCTTTTAGCACTGGGCTTATTTCTTGTGTGATGAAGGGTGAATTGTTATGACCTGTCCATACAGATACCTTTTTTCCCCCCCTTTCTTAAGCAGCATTTCAGTCTCCATTAGGAAGGGCACCACGAAGGAAGAGACACTGTCAGATCCCCAGGGATCTTGGTGAATGTTTTAGCACAGGAAGCAAGATGCAGGTTGCTGTGGCATCAGATAGTTTTACCTCCTGCTGGGTCAAATTTGAATGTCAAACACATTAGCTGTGATGTAAAACACGAGGCACTGAGTGAAGTGATGGCCCGTGGTATAAGCTGACATCCTGGTGCTCCTGACAGCTTCACTTCTCCTTATCATGGGGTGCAGAAAAGAGGTATCCTCAAATATGCTATTTGCATAAGAATGACAGGATGTGGTAGGACAAATGAAGATTAATGGGATGCTGTGCTGTCAGCATTGCCCATTGTCTGGAGATTGATGATGGTCTGGACTTTGTCTGCATTCATGGGCTTCGGTGTAGTTTGAACCAGGAACTCTCCTGGCACGTTGAATACTGAAGAGCTGAATCTTTGCAGAAGCTTTGTTACGACAGGAGGGCAGTGCTTGGCTCCCCATTTGGAAGAATCCTACTTGTTGGTATAAAAACTTGTGTCCTGCCTATTGTGTCAGTGCAGAGGATTTTTCCTGTCTCCTTTGGCATGTTTATTTTGCTTTTCTAAACTCCTGCTTCCTAGGCTTCCTCTTCACTTTCTTCCTCTTCCACCTCCTCTTCCATCACCTGCAAGTTTTGCTGCTCCTCTTGTCTTCATTCTATTAACCACTGGGTTTGAATTCATCTTATTTAGTTTAAGAACCACGTGGATAACACTGAGTCTTCTTGTTCTGGTTACATGAACAAAATAAAACAGAACTGCAGCTGATACTCTTCCTAGCAACTGCCAAGCATGAGGAAAGGGAATACAACTCCCCTCCCCCATGGTTCAGTTGAATTTGGAGGAGCCTTTTGGGCAGAGAAGTCAAGCAAAAGTTCATCAATTTGATCTGCCCCTCAAAATGTTGATTACTTTGTGGTTATGGGACAATCTTAATTTAAAGTGGCTTGTTTTGGTGAAAATAAAAAAATGCATGATAGAGCCATTTGGCAGAATCAGTAAAGAAATTATAATTTCTTGCCTGCAGCAAAAGTAAATAATCTCTCCTCTTGAAAAACATCAAAGTTCAGTCCTT